TTTCATTTATTTATTCATGAGAGACCTAGGCAGAGGGAGAAGCAGGCCCCATGCAGGATCCCAGCGTGGGACCGATAGCAGCACCCCAGGATCATGCCCTGAGCCAAAGGCCAATGCGTTTAACCACTGAGCCACCCAGGCGTCCCTGTATTCATGTTTTAAAAGTGGCTATCATAAACCAAGAAACTAATAATAGGACAAACATCTCTAAGGGTAATGGACAAGTAAGATAAGCTAACTCAGCATGGTTTTTTGCAATCACTAGGTAGCTAGGCAAATGTTCAGTATTGATGGTTCTGGACCAAAAACTAGTCAATAGTTCGTGGGGGGCAGCCCCGGTGGTGCAGCGGTTTAGCGCCGCCTGCAGCCCGGGGTGTGATCCTGGAGACCTGGGATCGAGTCCCACATCGGGCTTCCTGCATGGAGCCTGCTTCTCCCTCTGCCTGTGTCTCTGCCTCTCTCTCGCTCTCTCTGAATGAATAAATAAATCTTTAAAAAAAAAAAAAAATTCGTGGGGCATTTGCCGTTTCAAAGCGTTATCTAGGTTTTTTTTTTTTGTTGTTATGTTTTTTAAGATTTTTATTTGAGAGAGCAGGAGGACTGGCAGAGGGAGAAGCAGACTTCCTGGCTGAGCAGGGAGCCCAAAGTGTGGGAGGGGGGAATCCAGTGTGGGGCTCAGTCCCGGGACCTTGAGATCATGACCTGTGCTGAAAGCAGCTGCTTAAACTGATCCAGCCCCTCAGGTTTGATCTCAGGGTTGTGAGTTCAAGCCCCAACATGGGGCTTGCATATTTGTGGTCCTTGCCATCAAGGAAACTTACTGTGAATATTGAATATGACCACATGTAGGAGGTTTTTAATACCTTAAAAAACTAGTATGCTTGATAATAAATAAAATTTAAAAACATTTCCAATCCTTAAGTAGTGGGGAGAGAGGGGTCAACTTGGTTTTCAGCAACAGCCCTGTCACTTAAAGGCTGTGGGGGTAAAATCTCAAGAATCTAAGTTATTGTGAGGATTACATGAGGTACTTAATACATGGTGGTAGTTAAATCATTTTAGCAAGCAACTTTGGTGAACCTCCCTCCAGGTAACTACCCGTTGGGATATTCACAAAGACATTTTTTGTATGTGGGCATCATACTACATATGTCATTCTGTTATTTACTGGTTCTGTCCAGGTTTTGGTATTACAGGTGTCACCAACTGTACTTTGCCTTGTAGTTGTCTGGAGATAAACTCAGAGGAGTGGGAACTTTGGCACATCTCTTTTATATTTTTGTATTTATATTGTGAAAAATGGCATTTCAACAGTATAAAGTTAGCAAGAAGTACATGAGAATGTCATTTCTTCACATCTTTTCAAAATTGGTTTTAAGAGAATGATACTGTTTTTATTTTTATTGTTTTACTTATTTGAGTAAAGAGTGTCTTATGTTTCCTTTTTGTGAGCTGCCTGTTCATGGCTTATACCAGTTTTTCTTGGAACATCTTAACCCTTTATCATGTTACAAATATTTTTCCCATTTTTTTGTCTTTTCATCTTATTTAGAAGTTTTAAGAATTTTATTGATGCTGTCCCTAATGATTTTTCTATGTTTTTTAAAAAAATGGATCAGTCTATTTTTTTCTGCTTCCCCTTCTGTTTAATATGGTCTTCATCTGTCTTTTACACTTAGACATTTATTCTTTCTTCATAAACAAAAGTTTCCATATGCTTTTTCTTTGTAACATTTTTTCTGACACAGTTGGAATCAGCATACGCATGTTATTTGTCCAAATCTACCCATATGTGAACAGCTAGGGTTTGAAGGTTTCCTTCAACAACTGTTCTCTTAATTTAAAACTCATCTTTGTGATGCTTGGCTGGCTCAGTCGGCAAAGCATGCAACCCTTGATCTCAGGGTTCTCAGGTTGAGCCCCATAGATTTATGCATATATGTGGTTTTAGAAGTATCATTTTACAAGACAGCTAAAAATAGTCTCTCCCCTTTCACAGTCTGAAGTCTAGGGCAGACTTTTTTTTAAAGATTTTATTTATTTGTGAGAGAGGCAGAGACACAAGGCAGAGGGAGGAGCAGGCTCCCTGTGGGGAGCCCAATGCCTCACTTGATTCCAGGCCCCCGGGGTCATGCCCTGAACCAAAGGCAGCAGCTCAACCACTGAGCCACCCAGGTGCCCCTAGGGCAACCACTTTAAACCCCTAGCTGTTTTTCTGACCTACATTATGCCTTCTTGTTTAACATTCCTTTTTTTGTTTAAATTGAGGTGAAATTCACAATGTAAAATTCATCATTTTAAAGTGAAAAGTTCAGTGGCAATACATTTTTAAAAATATTGTACAACCACCACCTTGTCTAGTTCCAAAATGTTTTTATCACCCCAAAATAAAACCATACTCAAGGCAGTTACTGGGGAGCCTGGGTGGCTCAGTTGCTTAAGCATCAGCCTTTAGCTCAGGTCATGATCCCTGGGTCCTGGGATTGAGCCCCACATCGGGCTCCCTGCTCTGGGGGGAGCCTGTTTCTCTCTCCCTCTGCCTACCTCTGCCCCTACTTGCTTGCTCAGTCTGTCAAATAAGTAAAATATTTAAAAAAAAGGGGGGGGGGCAGATCCTTATTCTCTCCTCCTCACCTTGCCCCTGGCAACCACTAGTCTGCTTTCTGTTCCCATGGATTTACCTATTCTGGATAGTTCATATAAATGGAATCATGTAATATGTGACCTTTTATGTCTGGCTTTCACTTAGTATGATGTGAGTAGCATGTCAGTACTTTTTAGCTAAATAATATCCCACTGCATATAAGCATAATTTACGCATTTACTTGATTGGATTTCTACCTTTTGGTTATTTCAAATGGTGCTGCAATAAACATTTATGGACATTCACTTGTTTGAATCCCTGTTTTCAGTTCTTTGGGATACACACTTAAAAAGTGGAGTTGTGGGCAGCCCCAGTGGCTCAGCAGTCTAGCACCTGCCTTCGGCCCAGGATGTGATCCTGGAGACCCGGGATTGAGTCCCGCGTCAGGGTCTGTGCACGGAGCCTGCTTCTCCCTCTGCCTGTGTCTCTGCCTCTCTCTGTCTTTCATGAATAAATAAATCTTCAAAAAGTGGAGTTGGTTTAAATAACATTCTTACACAAGGATTTCTTGCATTTTTATTTTATACTGTTTCTCCTGGAACCTTTGTAATTATATAATTGTTTTTTATTAAAACCGTATTTTAGGTTTACATTTCTGTGGCTTTTGCATAACAAAAGCTTATATATAATATGTATCATTCTATATTTAACATTTCATGTAAATATATTTACATAAAACATGTTAATAGTTATCTTGTTTTCCATCTCTTTAGTGTTCTGTATTTCTATCTGTAATTCAGCCCCCCAATTTTTTTTAAAGATTTATTTATTTATTCATGAGAGACACAGAAAGAGAGAGGCAGAGGGAGAAGCAGGCTCTTCGCAGGAGCCAATGCAGGACTTGATCTCGGATCCTGGGATCACAACCAGATCCAAAGGCAGCCGCGCAGCCGCCCAGCCGCTGAGCCACCCAGTCATCCCTCAGCCCCAAACTTTGAACCATGTTTTAAATTTCAGTATGTTCAATCCAGTTTACTTCCTTTGTTTTTTTTTTTTTTTTCTTGGAGGTAATCCCAGGACCTGTATCATTAGCTCCAATTTAGACAGATTACTCTTTTTTTTTTTTTAAAGATTTTATTAAAAAAAAAGATTTTATTTATTCATTCATAGAGACACAGAGAGGCAGAGACACAGGCAGAGGGAGAAGCAGGCCCCATGCAGGGGGCCCGACATGGGACTCGATCCCAGGCCTCCAGGATCACACCCTGGGCTGCAGGCGGCACTAAACCACTGCGCCACCAAGGCTGCCCCTAGACAGATTACTCTTGAGACTTACAGTTCAGGGATCTAGTGTCAGATTTCTATTTCTACATAATGTCTTCCTCTCTCTTGGTTCCTCCTTCCTTTTGGTGAAACATTGTCTGGTAGCTCCCAAAGAAAAGGCTCAATCCTTGGATTTCTTTGTTTATACCAACTCCTAGGTAATTTCATCTGGTCTGTGGCTTTAAATGCTACCTTAGGGTTTACTACTTTAAAACTCATACCTCCAGTGCAGACCTTCCCTGAACTGCAGCCTTACATGTGCATCTGCCTATCAAATATCCCCACCTAGATCTCTAATAAATACCTAGGCTTTAAGAAAATTTTTTTTAATTTTTTAAAATTCCAAATAGAACTCTTGATTTTGGTAATCCAAACCTGCTCTCTCCCCAGACATCTCCATCTCAGTAAATAGCAACTCATCCTTGGACCAAAATCCTAAGTCCTTGACTTTTTTTTTTTTCTTCTCTAAATGCCACATACGTACTTGATCACCAAAACCTCTTAGCTCTACCTTTACAACATATGCACACATTTAAGCACTTATGACCTTTACTACAACCACCCTAGCTGAAGTGCTTTCTACCCTTACTACTGTAAAAGCTGCATAACTGTTCTCTTTCCACCCGTGAGCCCCACTGAAATCTTTTCTATATCCAGCATTGAAGAGTGATTTTTAAAATGTGAATCGTAGGGGTGCCTGGGTGGCTCAGTCAGTTAAGGGTCTGACTCTTGATTTCCACTCCAGTCATGATCTCAAGGTTGTGAGATTGGAGCCCTACATTGGGCTTCACACTGAGCACGGAGTCTGCTTAAGATTCTTCCCTCTTCCCCACCCCTTTTACAGGTATATGCATGCTCTCTCTCTCCAAAAAGAAAAAAGAAATTTTAAGTCACATGATGTCCCATAGCAGTGGTTTCCCATCTCACTCAGAATAAAATCTAAAATCCTTCTCTTGCCCTCTAAGGCAGTGTTAAGATCTTGGTGGAAAACATGGGTGTCATACTCACACTGAGGAATTTGGAGAGAATCTTCTAAAGGAATGTTTTATTTTATTATTTTTTTAAGATTTTATTTATGAGAGACAGAGAGAGAGGCGGAGACACAGGCAGAGGGAGAAGCAGGCTCCAGGCAGGGAGCCTGATGCAGGACTGGATGCTGGACTCCAGGATCGCGCCCTGGGCTGAAGGCAGACGCTTAACTGCTGAGTCACCCAGGCGTCCCTAAAGGAACGTTTAATAAAGATGTGAGTGGGGTTTAGGGAAGCCACAGGGCATACTGCCTATGATTCCCTGGAGCTAGCAACTGTGGGGAGACATTAGGCATTTCCACCCCTAGTCTGCAGAGTGCAAGGGAACGCAGAGCTGGGGACGGTCACCTGACAGAAGCTGTGACCCTCTGTAAAGATTCCGGCCTTCTGATTTATTGCAGGTGCCTTCCATTGGCCAAACCTCACAGGAAGCCAGAGGTCAAGGGAGCCTGTTGATATGGTTCCTGAACATCAGGTTCCCAGGCAGCAGAGAAGGGTGGAGAGTGGGACTGGAGGGACAAGCGGAAAGCATCCAGTACAAAGGGCCCTGTGATTGGCCTTGTCCAGCTACCTGTGTTCATCTCCTACCACCCTTTCCAGTCCTGGTGGCCTGGTTCCACAGACAGTCTTCCCAGAGTCATTGCCCCTCTAATTCCTCTACCCGGAAGGCTCTTAGCCCAGCTATCCACGTGGCTTGTTCCTTCCTTCCTGAAAGGCCCTATCTAAAAGAGGGCCCCCTCCCACCCAGCACTCCTCCCTTCGGGCCTGCTGTTCTTCAGAGGATGGATCACTACCTGACACGTTATGTTGATATTTTCAGATTATAAGATCCAAACAAGGACCTTGTCTGTTCACTGCTGTATCCCTAGCATTTAGAATAATGTCTGGTACATAGTAGATTCTCAATACTAATGTATATAAATGTTAAAGGAATGCACATAAGAGTAGAAAAAAAGTTTTGGAGATCTTGGAAAGTCTTTTATCAACCATCACTGATGACTAATAAAGAATTTGACTTGGGGGACGCCTGAGTGGCTCAGCGGTTTAGCGCCTGCCTTTGGCTCAGGGTGTGATCCCAGGGTCCTGGGATCGAGTTCCATGTTGGGCTTCCTGCATGGAGCCTGCTTCTCCCTCTGCCTGTGCCTCTTGTGAATAAATAAATAAAATCTTTAAAAAACAAAAATCTGTGGTTGTAAAGTCAGGTGTCATCCTGACTCCCATTCCTTTGTTAGTAACCTATGTTTTGTTTTCCTTTTTTTTTCTTCTTTTTTTACTTGCTTTTAGGATCATCTCTTTATTGGTTAGTTTTCTCAGTTTTGTGATAATACCTTGGGTTTTCCTTTTTTTTTCATTTGTTCCATGAGATACTCAGTAAGCTATTTTAGTCTCAAAATTGTCTTGCAGTTTGGGGAGATTTTCTTGAGTTATTTATTCCTTTAATGTTTCACACTATTTTCCGTGTTCTTTTTCTGGAACTCATTATTTGCTCACACTTTCTGGACTGATGCTTTAATTTTTTTCATCTTTTACTAACTATTTGTCCATCTCTTTTCCTGCTTTCTGGGAGGTTTCAACTTTATCTTCCAATTTTACTTAGAGTTTCATTTCTACCTTCATATTTTAAATTTCCCAGAGTCAGCGATATGTTGGTAACTGTTCTATGTATATTGTTGGATGTGTATTTACATATGTGTGTACATACATGTATGTTGTGGGTACACATGTGTATGTTATACACATGTATGTGTGTTATGTGTTGGCATGTTGGTGAATGTTTAACTCTTGTGAGGGAAATGACAACACTGATTTGTAGTGTTTACCTATTTCTGTGGTGTAAAAATTCCCACTATGGCCTATTTCAAACTACCAGCAGGATGTCACGATGTGGTATTGGGAAGAGATGCTCAGTAGTAGCCATTATATAAGATTTCCCCTATACTGATTTCAAAACCATGAATAGGGCAGCCCCAGTGGCTCAGGGGTTGAGCGCTGCCTTCAGCCCAGAGCATGATCCTGGAGACCTGGGATCGAGTCCCACGGTGGGCTCCCTGCATGGAGCCTGCTTCTCCCTCTGCCTGTGTCTCTGCTTCTTTCTCTCTCTCTCTCTCTCTGTGCCTCTCATGAATAAATAAATTTAATAAAAAAACCATGAATAATAGTAAAACTATAAAACAATCAGGAAATGGTGAGTTTTGAGTATTTATTACTATTGTTTTGAATACAGTTTATTTACCTTTGAGTTCATTTATTTTATTTTTAAATAATGCCTGTGTTTAACTGGCTTGCAGAATTCCTGAAAATTTAACAGTCAGCTCTTGTGAGCCCTTATGAACCAGATCCAGTTTGCCACTGCTCAGAGCTCATTTTTGTTCTTTTAATTTTTTTAAAGGTTTTTTTATTTATTTGAAGGGGACAGCACATGAGAGAGCGCAAGAGCAGGAGGAGGGGCAAAGAGAGAGGGAACCAGTGGCTCCCACGAAGCAGGGAGGACGCGGAGTTCCATCCCAGGACCTGAGATCATGACCTGAGCTGAGAGTAGATGCTAAACCGACTGAACCACCCAGGCGCTTCTAATTTTTTTTTTTTAAAGATTTGATTTATTTATTCATGAGAGACACAGAAAGGGGGTTGGGCAGAGACACAGGCAGAGGGAGAAGCAGGCTCCATGCACCGGGAGCCCGATGTGGGACTGGATCCCGGGTCTCCAGGATCACGCCCTGGGCCGAAGGCAGACACTAAACTGCTGAGCCACCCAGGCAGGGATCCCCTATTTTTTTTTTTTAATAGAAAACTGTTGTTTCATAGCTGTCTTCTCATCTTAGCTCTTTCTGCCTCTACATTGTCTGGTTTTGCTGAGCTCCTTTGATGCTTGTTTGTCATTTATGTTAGGAGACTTTGCTCAAATACCCAGTCGTCCTTGCAAGAATTTGAATTGTGATGCCCACTGTACTGTATAGTGAATTGTATCCCGATGCAGTTACTCTTCTTCGCTACTAGGTGGCGTATATTGTGCTGTTGCTGGTGTAAATGCTACCATATAACCAGCAGCTTTGTGTAATTTAAATGTACTTTGACATTTATTATTTCTTTGATTTTCACAACTTCCCAAAAGTTAACTCCAGATATCCTTGGAAGGAGACTTGGAATGAATTCAAACATGTATGTCCTATTTTAAAGATGGGGAGGGAGGGGCGCCTAGGTGACTCAGTCTGTTGGTAGCCTGACACTTGGTCTCAGTTCAGGTCTTGATCTCAGGGTTGTGAGTGCAAGCCGTACGGTGGGCTTTGCACTGGGTGTGGAGCTTCTTAAAAAAAGAAAATGATGCAGAAATTGAGGTTCAGAAAAGGTAACTCAAACCAAGATCATTAGGATGTCTAGTGTTCCATCACTATATCTTGGTGATAGACTTTTACAATACTTTTTTTCAAGTTTTTGTTTTTTTTTAATGAGGAGTGCAAATAATAAAGACCCATGTTCAAGGCACCTGGCTGGCTCAGTCAGTAGAGCATGCAGCTCTTCATATGGGGGTCATGAGTTCAAGCCCCACGTTGGACATAGAGATACTTAAATAAACTAACATATATGTAGGTTTAAAAAAAGGACCCGTGGGGCAGCCCGGGTGGCTCAGCGGTTTAGCACTGCCTTCAGCCCAGGGCATGATCCTGGAGACCCGGGATCGAGTCCCACGTCGGGGTCCCTGCATGGAGCCTGCTTCTCCCTCTGCCTGTGTCTCTGCCTCTGCCTCAAAGGCAGGCGCCAAACCGCTGAGCCACCCAGGGATCCCCAATTTTGTTTAGTTTTTTATGTTGGCTCCATGCCTAACGTGGATCCTAATGTGGGGCTTGAACTCACGACCGTGAGATGAAGACCTGAGCTGACATCAAGAGTTGGATGCTTAACTGACTGAGCCACCCAGATGCCCCAAGGAATCAAATTTTAAAATCTCCAGACATCTAAGTGAACTTAGGCACTGTTCTCTTTTATATTGTTTCTCCCTAATTTTGTTACCTATCAGTAAAAACTCAAATTCTCCCAAGCTAAGGATAGGAGTTGCCTTTCAGCTGTAAGCGAGTGCTGTTGCCAGCATCCCAGCCTCACCTGCAGTCGTAGTGCTGCTTACACTCCTATGTGTTGTGTGGCTACAAACAAACACAATGATGTATGTACTAGTAGCTGGGGAATGACAGTCCCCATATCAGGGTAGCGGCACCCCTCTAGCGGGAGGAACTGAGCAGGATTGGGCAGGGCCACACAGACATCTTCACCTGTGTCTGTAATGCTTTCTTTTTTAACCCTAGGTTTAGGTTCAAGGGGCTTTTGTTATAGTTTCTGTGTCTTTTTGTATGTCCAGCATAAAAAGTCTCTGTGAGGTCTACGATTGTAGAAGCAGTTTGCTCACTCAGCAGATATTTACTCAGCACTTCTGGGACAAATCCTCTTCTATACAGTAGTGAACAGCAGTCTAGGGTCTGGTTTCATTGCTAATTCATTCAACACACATCACTGAGCTCCTGCTCTGGGTACCGTGCTATGCCAGATGCTCATAAGATGAGGCACTCGTGCCTGGTCCTGCACTCTGACAGGCTTGCCCACTAGTGTGGGGTGGGGCACATTATCCATGAAGTGTGCAGCCCTTGCAAGACAGGACTTAGCTTCAGAAGAGAGATAAAGTGTTAAGGAAAAATCATAGAATTCGGAGGGCTTCACAGAGGAGATGACAGTTAAGCTGGATCAGGAAGGACAAGCAGGGAGGGGGTGCACTGCAGGCAAAGAGCCTCCTAAGAAGAGGGAACAGCATGAGCAGAGTGTGGAGGTGGAGGGTGTGCAGTGTGAAGGTCCAGCGAGCATTTTATTTTGATTGGGGAACTTCGTAAAGTCCGGGAAAGGAGTTAGGTCAACTGGGGAGGGCCCAGGTCCAGGTAGGTCTCCTACCTAGAGCCACTGGCTGTTAGGGCCAAGAGGGCCGGGGAACGGCAGCTGGGTGGGCAGAGACAGGACCTGCCCAGACAGGGGCGGGGGGGAGACGGATCTGAGTAGAATCCACAGGACCTGGCAGCTGTTTTAGCTTGCGTGGAGTGCTTTTCACAGGAGGTTACTCAGAGTCTCCTTGAACTCCTCCACCATGTAAAAGGTTTGGGCTTTTCCTGCTGGATGGTAGTTCCTCATTCGTGTACTGGATCTCACATGGAACTCCCCTGCACAGGAGTGCGCTGAGGGGGAAGGACGTGGAAGAGGAGGAGCTTGGAAAAGTCGGAAGGATGCAATTTCTGCAAGAGTCTGTGCGCTGGGGTCCTGGTAGTCAGGGCGCCTGAGGGCAAGCCCAGCTGGAGGTTATCAAAGGGGAGAGGCTGCCGTGGGGCTGCTGACCAGCAGGCTGCAGGCTGGGGCTGCTGGATTGCCTCCGTGGTGCCCGTGTGGAGATGTGCTGAGACTGGTATGCCCTCCGTACTGGGGGAACTTGGGATTCAGACAGCATCTAGGGCGGAGGTGTGGGGGCAGTCTGTGTCATCCAGGAGGTCCTGCTCTGCTGGCATTTCCTCTTCCAGTTTCAACTGATCTGAGGTCCTCTCAGCATGAGCCATCACATTGGCCCTCACACCCCACCAGCATGGCTTTAGGTTCAAAGATGGGGCCAAGACTGGTCTAAGGAAGACTGATAGGTACACTTCGAAGGTCACTAGAACAGAACCCCTCCCCGTTGCCCTAGATCTCTCCAGCTAACCTGTTGCAGTGCCTGAAATCCATCGCTGGAGAAGCACATACATTTCCTGGAGGGCCCGGCACATTATTCGAGAGCTTACTATAATACAGTTATTAACAAGTTCACCAAGATTTCAAAGGGTATGGTTTTTGTAAACTGTCAAACCCTACTCTTTTTTTTTTTAAGATTTTATTTATTTATTCATGAGAGACGCACAGAGAGAGGCAGAGACACAGGCAGAGGGAGAAGCAGGCTCCTCACAGGGAGCCCAGTGCAGGACTCAGTCCCTGGACCCAGGATCACACCCTGAGCTGAAGGCAAACGCTCAACCGTTGAGCCATCCAGGCCTCCGAACCCTACTCTTAAGTAAAGTGTCATCATTTATGCAAATCATCCCTGAGCACTAACCACTTTGAACTCAGGATCAGGGAATTATGGGTTAGAAACCCTTTGCCTCCATAATCTCACTGGAGCTTTACAGCAACCTCGTGCTGCAGAAATTTTTCAAATTCTCTTTGCCTCAGTGTCCTCCTGTAAACTGGATGTAAAATCCCTTGCCCAAGGTCACATGACCCATATGAGGCCACAGAGACTGGGTATTAGATTTAGAAACGGGGCTTATTTCTTCCTACTTTCTCAAAGCAGTCTGGGGTGTGACACTCTCTACGTGGTGGAAGGGCAGTTCTCTGACCTTTGCAAGCGGGGTGAAGAACGGGTGGGGGCTAGAGAGGGAGTCATAGTCCCCATGGGTGGGTGTGTGAAGGCATCCAGAATCTGTGGCAGGAGGTCGCTGAGGAAGTCGAACTGGGATTTTGGGTTGTGGTCTATTAGCCATCCAGGTGGTGAGACACTGGTCCTACTACCTCTGGGTGAAGAGCCTGGGATGGAGAATCTGAATAACTCCCTCAGGATGGACCCCACCCCCACCCCCACCGTCAGTGCCTAAGCCCTGTTTCTCCAACCCTGCACTGACTCCCAGTGGTGGCCAAGTCTCACTGCCTGGTTGAGTCTTACCTGGAAAAGAAGGAGGTTGACCAGGTAGGCATGCTAAGTTCTGGAAGCAGCTAAAACTATTCCAGTCTCCAACGCCTCCAAAAGCTAGGCCCTGGGGCAGGGAGGATGAGTGTTTCCAGTCCTAACGGAATCACTTTTTCCTACATCCTAGCAGATTTATTTCTGCCCTCGTGCCTCCTTTCCAAGATTGGAAAATCAGGTGTATTGGGAGTCATCTTCTGGGCTCTGCCCAACCTGCCCATTCCTTCATTCAGCAACGTTCTCTAAATGCCTACGATGGTCCTGGCCCCCTCCTCCCCTCTCTTATCCGTCTGTCCATCCATCCATCCATCCATCCATCTATCCATTCATCCATCCAGTCAACAAATATATATTGAACTGTGTGTCAGGTGCTGTTTTAGGGCTCGTGATACAAGAATGAGCAAAACCAGACATGGTCCCTAACCTCATGGAGCCCTCGGGGTTTGGCAAGAGAGAGATATTCAAATAATCACTATACAAATGTAGATGGCATCTGTAACAAGTACTACAAAGGAGACTGCCTGGTGCTACAGGAGCCTCCAAGGTTGGGTGGGTGAATGGCACTAGGTAGGCCATGAAGGCTTCTCTGAGGAGGTGACACTTGAGCTGTTATCTGCAGAAAGGAGGAGCAAAGGAGGAGGGGGTGTGGGCATTGCTGGCGCAGGAATATAAAGGCCTTCGGACAGAAGGGAGCACAGTAAGCGTTGGGGAGGCCGAGTGGGGCCAACAGGAGGGAGGGAGGCAGGCCCTTGTAGGCATTTTGAAAGATCTGCCTTTGCTTCAAAGCAACAGGGATAGAGGGTTTTCATCGGAGGGAGTGATGTGATCAGCTTTGCATTTTGAAAATACTCTGTCAGCTTGCTGTGTGAAGGATGGAAGTGGGTGGATAGAAGGGCCTAGTGAATTTGTAAGACCAGACCAGTAAGGAGGCCAGAGTCCAAAGGAGAGTTGACTATAAGCTGGGACTAGGGGTTAGGGTAGAGATGGAGAAGAGTTGAAAAGTAAGAGAAACATCTAGAAAGTAAATTTGTCAAGACTTGGGATTGGGTTGCTTATGGAGAAGGAGAGAGAGAGAGAGAGAGAGAGAGAGAGATAGGAAAGGTGACTGCCAGGTCTCGGACATGGGCAAGAGGAGGGATGGCGGTCCATTCCGGCAGGTGGGGGACACTGAGGAAGGGGCAGGCAGGGGCAGTACGTTATGAGTTCAGTGTTGGAGATGCTGGGTTTGAACCGTCTTTAAGATATCCACACAGAAGGGTGCCTGCGTGGCTCAGTCAGTGTGGCTTGGGTCATGATCCTGGAGTCCCAGGATCGAGCCCTGTGAGTCTGCTTCCCCTCTCCCTCTGCTCCTCCCCCTGCTTGTGCTCTCTTGCTTGCTCACTCTCTCAAGTAAGTAAATAAAATCTTTAAAAAAAAAAAAAAAAGATGCCAAATAATAACCACCACTTACCGGGCACTTACATGTGTTAGGCACGAGGTGGAGAGTATCAGCGCCACCGCTGTCGACAAGGACACGCTAAGGCTCTGAAAGGTAAAGTAGGTGGGGAGGTGACATACAGATGGGAAGCTCAGAAGCAAGCTCTGGGCCTGAGAGTAGGGTCCTCAGGGAGGAGTAGAAATGAAGCCATGGTCAGCCCCCGGAGAGGAGTCCAGCTTCTTCCCCCTCTTACCTCCACCCCACTGCCAGCTGGGCCCCCCTCACGCGCTGGGCAGTAAATGGGGTGCCTGGACCTACCCCGCGTGTGGCCTACGGTGTCAAAGACGGCCGCAGTGAAACCTCCTGCCCACTTGTCTCCTCGGAACCTTACTTTCTCCAGTCAGGGCATCCCCATCAATCTGGCAGGCCTGTGGCCTGGTAACTAATAGGGTTCCGAGCAGTGAGGCGTCAGCACCTGTGCGGTGGGCGCGGGGAGGGCCTTGTTGCTGGACAGTCCTGCGTGGGCCTGAGCCTGCTGCAGCCTCCCTGGAGCGCTGCGCGGGGGTGAACCAGGCATCGGGCAGTACTAGGCCTGGGGCACCCGGGGGGCTTCCTCCGGTGACTGCCCCCGGCCCCCAGTCACCCCAGCCACTGATCTCCCCAGCCGAGGCCCAGACATTTAGAGCGGGGCCATTCCTGCCATGCCCTCTGACTTCTTGACCCACAGAATCCCGAGCAAAATAAAATAGTTGTTTTGAGGCACAGAACATTGGGATCCTGTGTTTCATGGCAAAAAGAACCGGACAGCTTACTGAGAGGGGCATGGGCTGAGCGTCCCCAGCTTCCTGGCTGCGGGGGGACAGGGCAGTGGCTTTTCTCCACCTGCCACGACTTCCCGTTCTCGCCTCATCTCACCGACGGGAATTACACGTGGACGTGTCTGTCCTGTTCACTGGCGGGGAGCCCCTGTGGGGAGAGGAGGGCACGGCTGTCCCCGTCGCCACATAGCCCAGGCTCAGAGCCCGGCAAGAGGAGAACCAGAAAATGCTTGCTGGTCCATGCATGCTGCACGCCTGCACACTGCCTGACGCTTATTTCCCCGGGGGGCACCCCCACTTCTTCCGGGCTCACAGGGGCGCTGGGCGGGAGCTCTTGCTGGCTGCCTCACAAAGATGTATGATTGGCCTGAAAGCACTTTTTCTGAAAGCATTCTCATAATTCAACAGTTTGACTGAAACACTGGTTTGATTGAAAATAAATATCCCATTTGCTCAGGTTATTTTTTTTCCCTATAGTGTCAGCTATTTTCATGCTTCATAGGGCAATTTTTAGCCAAGAGTTTTTTAAGCATTTTTGTCCATTTTCAGAACTTTTCAGAGTTTTCTCCCCTAACTATTCATAATTTGCTTTAGCCTACTTTTCTGCTTTTCAATATTTGTAGTGATTGAAAGTTGGAACAGCTTAAGAGTCTAATGGATGTGGGGTCCTGCTTGGGACCACTGACTTAAGAGTCTCAGAGGAGGAAAACCAGATGGGGCACTTCATTGGGGTGCTCATTTTTTTGTGTGTGATACATTGAGGCTTCAAGAAGGAAGGGGCTTGCCAGGGTCACGCAGTGAGGGGACAGTGAGGACCAGCATCCAGTGTCCTGGCTCCTGGCCTAGTACCCCCTCCCCTCTGTTCCTGCTCCAGGTAGGAGCAGAAATGGTCTCGAGGTGAAATTAAATCTTTCTTATGTCTCTATTTTCTGATGTTTCTGAAGGAATATAAATTGCCTTTGGCCAAAAAGAAAAAAAGAGTAAAAGAAAGAATAAAAAAATTCTATTACAGGGGATCCCTGGGTGGCTCAGTGGTTTAGCACCCGCCTTTGGCCCAGGGTGTGATCCTGGAGTCCCGGGATTGGGTCCCACATCGGGCTCCCTGCATGGAGCCTGCTTCTCTCTCTGCCTGTGTCTCTGCCTCTCTCTTGTGTGTGTCTCTCATGAATGAATGGAGAAAATCTTTAAAAAAAAATTCTATTACAGACATTTCGACCTGAGTACCCTCATCCCGTCCACCGCACCGCGTACAGACAGGGTAGGAAGGCTGCCAGCCCACGCAGCTTTGCCTCTTTTAAGACAGTGGCCTTTAGGGACATTCTGGCTCAGACTTATGATCACACAGATCCCAGCTTTGAGCCATAGGGTCCAGGAAAAGCCAGTATATTCTGGGGGCACATATCCCTGGGACCTACCCACCCAAGACGGAGGAGATGCCAAATGGGGGGCGGCAAGCCCTGCAGAAGGCCATGAGCCCCAGGAAGCGCCACCAGAGGGCAGCAGGAAGCTGGCCCGAAGCTCCTCTGGGTGGGCTGGGAGGGGCTGTGTCTGTTTTCTGGAAGCAGCTATATTCTTTTTTTCTTTTTTTAAAGATTTTATTTATTTATTCATGAGAGACACAGAGAGAAAGGCAGAGACATAGGCAGAGAGAGAAGCAGGCTCCTCACAGGGAGCCTGATGTGGGACTCGATCCCAGGACCCCAGGATCATGCCCTGGGCCAAAGGCAGATACTCAACCGCTGAGCCACCCAGGCGTCCCTGGAAGCAGCTATATTCTTAGAACAGTGCCTGGAATACAATATATATTAAAATGGTGTTTGGTAATTGAATGCACAAATGGAAATACTGCTGGGCGGGGCAAGGGGGGGAAGAGAGGGATGGCGGGTGTTTGAGTGGAAGACAAAACACAAAGGAATTTTACCTGTTTGTTGGGCAACATGCCAATAATCTCTTTAAATTCATGATCCCTCTTTTCTTTCTTTTTTTTTTTTAGTATTTTATGTATTTGTTCATGAGAGACACACACAGAGAGAGAGAGAGAGAGAGAGAGGCAGAGACACAGGCAGAGGGAGAAGCAGGCTCCATGCAGGGAGCCCAACGTGGGACTCAATCCCAGATCCTGGGATCACGTCCTGGGCGGAAGGCAAGCACTCAACCACTGAGCAACCCGGGCGTCCCATGGTCCCTTTTTTCAAGTTAGTTTTTAAATTGAAAAATAGTACATTCTTATGATTAAAAAATATGAAACAGGGACGCCTTGGGTGGCTCAGTTGGTTAGGCATCTGCTTTTGGCTCAGGTCATGATCCTGGTTGGGGGGTGTCCTGAGATTGAGCCCCATGTGGGGTGCCCTGCTCAGTGGGGAGCCTGCTTATCCCTCTGCCTCCCCTCACCCTGCCCCCCTCACGTGCTTTCTCTCCCTCTTAGATAAATAAATAAAATCTTTTTTTTTTTTAGATTTTATTTATTTATTCATGAGAGACACACAGAGAGAGAGAGAGGCAGAGAGAGGCAGAGACACAGGCAGAGGGAGAAGCAGGCTCCATGCAAGGAGCCCAACGTGGGACTCGATCCCGGGTCTCCAGGATCACACCCTGAGCTGAAGGCAGTGCTAAACCGCTGAGCCACCCAGACTGCCCAATAAATAAAATCTTTAAATAAATAAAATAAAAAATAGGAAACAAAAATTTAAAAATAAATCTCCCGGGACACCTGGGTGGCTCAGTGGCTGAGCATCTGCCTTTGGTTCAGGGCATGATTCCCAGATCCAGGATCAAGTTGTACATCGGGCTCCTTACAGGGAGTCTGCTTCTCCCTCTGCCTGTGTCTCTGCCTCTCTGTGTCTCTCATGAATAAATAAATAAAATCTATAAACCAATCAATCAATCAATCAATCAATCCTCCCTCTCAAGCCAGCCCCTCAGGCTTTCTCAGAGGCTGACAATGTTTATTGCGTATCTTTGTAGAAATTTTATATGCATGTCCTTTGTGGGTCACCTGCTCCCTGCCTCATCTCTCTGAACCTCCAGGCTGAGATCAGAGTGGCATTTCTCCAAGTGCAGCCTGGGACCACCTACAACAGAATCACCTGGTGGAGATATCACATATTAAAATGCAGATTTTGAGGCTTCACATGGATCACCATAATCAGAGTCAGGGTCAGGAATCCCTGATTTTAACAAACTACTCTGGGCATTCTTTTTTTTTTTTCTTTTTTCTCAGATATATATATATATATATATATATATATATATATATATATATATTAGTAATCTCTACACCCAACATGGGGCTCAAACTCAAAACCCCGAGATCGAGATCATGAACTGGATGCTCTTCCGACTGAGCCCGCCAGGCATCCCCTTGGGCATTTCCGAAACCCACTAACCTTTGAGAAGCACTGACCTGACTCACACCATCACTACATGGGGGGAGGGTCCAAAGAGTTCTGGGGCAAATCTAGGTTCCACTATGCCCTCACCTTGTGACCTTGATGTTGGAAACAGACCTTGGAAGCAGGCCTGTCTCAGGCTGCCGTGACAAAGTACCTCAGGCTGGGCAGCTTAAATAATAGAAATGTATTCCCTCGCAGTCTGGAGGCTAGAAGCCCAAGATCCAGGTGCCAGCAGCAGGTGCCTCTCCTCCTGGTTTGCAGATGTCTGTGTTCTCCCAGAGTCTTCACACATCTTTCCTCTGTGCCTGTGAAAATGTAGAGAGAGGCAGATGACGGGGGAGGAATGGAGAGGGGGTCAGTGCTCTGGTCTCTCTTCTTCTTCTTTTCTTTTTTTTAATTTTATTTACTTATTTGAGAGAGAAAGAGAGCAGGGGTGGGGGGTGACAGAGGAAGAAGCAGACTACTGAGATGCAGGGCTCCATGTGGGGCTGGATTTGGGGCTCTATCCCAGGGGCCCTGGATCATGACCTGAGCCAAAGGCAGACACTTAATAGACTGAGCCACCTCTCTTCCTTTTCTTATAAGGACATCAGTCCTAATAGATTAGGGTTCCATCCTTATGACCTCATATGATCTTAATTACTTTTTTAAAGGCCCTATTTCTAAATAGTCACATTAGGGATTATGGTTTCAATGTATGAATTTTGTGGGTACATAATTCCATAATATCTTTTTCATGTTCTCCCCCCCAATTTAGTGTCTTCTGCCTCAAGGCATGTCTCTTCCACTTATTCTGGTTTTATAAACTTTGTAGTAACCACTATTTTAATAACCACAACATTTAAGTAATAAAAACCACCATTTTAATAATATATTTAATTATATGCATATAATTATATATTGAACTTTCACACATTGAATTTTTACATTTCTCATAAACTTATTGCTAAATAGTTTAATATTTAATGTTTTTTTGCTTTTCTACCCCCACATTTTTATTTGTTAAACGTTCTAATCTATAAAACAGTTGTAAGATATGCAATGAATATCCATAGTCCTCGATTCACCAGTTGTTAACCTTTTGCCATATTTCCTTTATCTTTCTCTATGTATCTCTATTTTTTTTTTTTTTTTTTTTTGTCCTGAAGCATTCTCTCTCTTCAGGCTCCTGTGATGCTCCCCCAGCTGCTCCAGAGCACCTCTGGTCTTTTGGCATTTAAAGGACCTACTTCTTGCATATACTGAGAATGCTTCAGAGGAGGGACCATGGTGTGTGTTCCACTGAAGCTCTAGGATTTTGTAGTATCTATTGCCAATGGATGTTCAATAAATAAGAGAAGTGGGGCACCCAAGGTCACACAGCTTAGTGAGGGCCCACACCTGGATTTACATGCAGGTTCAACAAGCCCCAAAGTCCATCCTCTTCCATCATGCCATACTGTCTCCTTGATAGTAAAGCAGACTTTTCACAGGAGAATAATGCATTATTGGTTACCTGGAAGCTGAAAATATGGGGGCACATGTTTGATCGACTGAATCGCATTTTGATCTATCCTTTTTTTTTTAAAGATTTTATTTGTTTATTTGATGGAGAGAGAGAGCACAAGCAGGGGGAGCGACACACAGAGGGAGAGGGAGATGCAGACTCCCCGCTGAGCAGGGAGCCTGATGTGGAGCTTGATCCCAGGACCCTCGGATCATGACCTGAGCCAAAGGCAGATGCTTACCCATGTGAGCCACTCAGGCACCCCTGATTCATCTTTGAGCATAAACTACTTTGCATTTAAGTTGCTGGCTCAGTGCCATGCACATCAGCAGGAATAGCTACCATGAACTGAAGTCCTTCACTATGGCTGATCAAGGGAAAGCGCCTCCGGATGAAGCTCCTTTTATCATAGGTGGTAGTGATTTGTCCTGAGACAAATTGATTGGAAAGGGAGGGCCTTGGACAGGTGTGGAAATATGTGTTCTGGTCTAGGCTGTGTTATGTAACTAGTCACACAATCTTTGGCAGCCCACTTGCCCTCTGTGACCTTCAGTGTCTTCATCTAAAAAATGAGGATAAAAACTTGCCTTGCCCATCTCCTAGAATTGCTGTGATCAGAGAAGGGAGAAAGCATACAAACCTTTGTGGGTTTTGTTTTGTTAAGATTTTATTTATTTATTCATGAGAGACACACAGAGAGATGCAAAGACACAGGCAGAGGGAGAAGCAGGCTCCCTGCGGTGAACCTGAGGCGGGACTCGATCCAAGGACCCTGGGATCACACCCTGAGCAGAAGCTCAACCACTGAGCCACCCAAGTGTCCCAAACTTTTGTGCTTTAAATCCATTATATAGGGACGCCTGGGTGGCTCAGTGGCTGAGGGTCGGCCTTCGGCTCAGGGCATGATCCTGGTCCTGGAATCGAGTTCCACATTGGGCTCCCTGCGAGGAGCCTGCTTCTCCCTCTGCCTGTCTCTGCCTCTCTCTGTGTCTCTCATGAATAAATAAATATAATCTTTAAAAAAAAAAAAAGAATCCATCATATACTCCATCCAATCAGAATCAGCTCAAATATTAGTAATTGTGCTTGGAGAATCATGTAAAACTTAACAAGAAAAGGAATCAATTATTTTGTTTTTATTAACTGAAAATTTTGCTAGGATCAGGCCATAGGCTGGGAAAAATTCATGTCTTGTTTTCATCAATCACAGGAGGTATCTACCCAGAATGGAACTGGCACCACATCTGAGCTCTCAGATTCAAATGCTACTTCTTACCCTGTTGAGTATTTTTCCTTAATTGTACAAAATGATATATGTGAAAAAGAATTCTTTAATGCTTGATAGCTTGAGGTCAATAATGGTAGTTATTAACCTCAGGAGCACATTAGAATTACCAAGGGAGATTTAAGATCACACCAATGCATTTCTTGGGGTAGGGCCCAGGCTTTTTTCTTTTCCTTTATTTTCTAGATTGATTGATTGATGAGAGAGAGAGAGAGAGAGAGAGAGAGAGAAACCATGAGTGGGAGGGGCAGAGGGAGAGGGGATCTCAAGCAGACTGCACTGAGCACAGAGCCTGACATGGGGCTCCATCCCAGGACCCTGAGATCATGACCTGAGCTGAAACCAAGAGTCTGATGCTTAACCAACTGTGCCACCCAGATGCCCTTGGGCTTTTTTCTTTTTAAAGCAACTTGGTAATTTTAATGGGCATAAGGTCTATAGGTACATGAAAGTGTGAAATGAAAAAGCTGTAACAGTGCTAATTGATATATAATGTGAGCCACAAAGGTGAGCAAATATATGTAACAAAATTTTATAGTAACCACTATTTTGATAATATATTTGACAAAACTCAATGGCTCAGCAGTTGAGCGTCTGCCTTCAGCTCAGGGCATGATCCCGGAATCTGGGATGGAGTCCCACATCGGGCTCCCTGTGAGAAGCCTGCTTCTCCTTCTGCTTCTCTCTCTGGGTCTCTCAAGAATAAATAAAATCTTAAAAAAAACCCAATACATCCAAAATATTATTTCAACATATAATTAATTAGTACAATTATGAATGAGATATTTTACATGTTTTATAGTAAATCTTCAAAATCTGTTGTATATTTTATACTTAGAACAGATATCAATTCAGATAATGCAGTCTAGCCATAGTTCATGGGGCCAATGGCTACTGTTTAGGGTAGTGCAGAGCTGGAATATATAACATAAATATTTTTGCTTATCATTCATTGGATGATGCAGTTGCAAGAATTTCTAAATCTTACCAAGACCCTTAGATGCATGCATTGCTTTCCTTGTTTTTTTTTCATTTACAGGCTCAAATTTGAAATAAAGTTGTTATAACATTCGCTACCTCTCAGTAAAGCTGTTCAGTTTCTATTATATAGGTTTTATACATACCCATGTTGCATATATTGTTTCATTAAGATTATTCCTTACTTGTTTGTATATTTGCTACTATTATAAGGGAGAAGAGTTCAGTAACTGATTATTGAGCTATTGATTTGTGATATTATCTTGGTCCCAGACTCCCTTATTAATTTTAAGCATTTGGGGTTGTTTTCCACATTTAAAGTATCATGCCTTATTATCTGCAAATAAATTAAAATGTTTTATGTCTTTCCCAATACTTAAATGTCTTATTTCTGTTTCAGGTCTTAGCGTATTGGCAAAAATTTCTAAAACAGCATTAAATAATAGAATTGCTATAGGTATGCTTCTTTTCCTTTTAATGTTTTCTTATTTTAATGAAAATGTCTTTAAATGTTTCATCGTTAAAGAATGTTTCTTTTTGTTTTTTTCTTAAAGATTTTATTTATTTACTTGAGAAAGAGAATCTGGGAGCACAAGCAGCGAGGAGGGGCAGAGGAGGAGGAAAAGAAAATTCCTCACTGAGGGACCTCACTGAGATCATGACTTGAGCTGCAGGCAGATGCTTATCAGACTGAGCCACCCAGGGGGCACCTGTTGAAGAATGTTTCTATCTGTCTGAGAGATATACTCTCAAAAGAAACATTTGGTTACCTGTAATTTTCTACTACTTTTTAAAAGCTTTTTATTTTGAGATAAATATAGATTCACAGAATTTTGTAAAGACAGTAGAGAGGTGTCTGTTTACTCTCTACCCAATTCCCCAATGGTTATATCTTATATAATTGCAGGACAATAGCAAAAACAGAAAATTGATGTTAGTACAATGTATACTTCTATAGTCATTTTATCCATTTGTGTAGCCAACTCTGCAATGGAGATACAGAACTGTTTGATCACTACAAAGACCTCCCTCATGCCATTCCTTTATGGTCACATCTTTTCTCACCCCACCACCATCCTTAACCCCTGGCAACCACTAATCAGGTCATCATCCCTAGAATTTTTCTTTTAAATTTTGAGAATGTATGGTATCCAAATAATATGTAAATATTTCAAATTGGCTTTTTGAGCATAATACTTAGAGGTCTATTTAAGTTGTTATAGCAATAGTTTGTTCCTTTTTATTACCAAGAGGTATTCCATGGTACAGATGTACCACAGTTTTATGGGTTTTTTTGTTTTGTTTTTTAATACAGAACACTTTAGGAATTTGCATGTCATCCTTGTGCAGGGATCACACTCATCTCTGTATTGTTGCAATTTTAGTATATGTGCTGTTAAAACGAGCACTGTACCATGGTTTTTTAAACCATTCACCTATTATAGGACATTTTGCTTATTTCCATTTTTTTTCTGTTACAAAAAGCTACTGTGACCAATCATGTAAAAGTATTTACGTGAGCATAGGTTTCATTTCTCTGAGATAAATGTCCAGGAGTAGGATTGCTTGGTCATATAGTAAGTGAAGATTTATTTTTTAAATAAACTGCCACGACTATTTCCCAGGATGCCTATAAGATTTCACATCCCCACTAGCAAAGTATGAGAGATATAGTTTCCCTACATATTCACCAGCATTTGATATTGTCACGATTTTTAATTTTAGATTCATTTTTAAAAAGATTTTATATATTTATTCATGAGAGACAGAGAGAGAGAGAGAGAGAGAGGCAGAGACACAGGCAGAGGGAGAAGCAGGCTCCACACAGGGAGCCTGATGTGGGACTCGATCCCGGGGCTCCAAGATCAGGCCCTGGGCTGAAGGCCACACTAAATCACTGGGCCACTGGGGCTGCCCTTAACTTTGGATTCTAACATAATTTTAAAAATTAGGATGGTTTCATCAAATACATCTTTGGCATTTATTGATATAATTTCATGGTATCCCTTAGTGGCTCTCTTGATGAACTGCATTAATTTAATTAAAAATATTTTATTTATTTATTTCAGAGATAGAGCACAAGCATGAGCAGGGGAAGGGCAGAAGGAGAGGGAGAAGCTGAGCAGGGAGCCCAGTGTGGGGCTGGATCCCAGCACCCCAGGATCACAACCTGATCCAAGGGCTGACGCTTAATCAACTGAGGCATTCAGGGGCCCCGATGAATTACATTATTTTATCCTTAAGTATACATATATTTTGGGATGCCTGGGTGGCTTAGTGACTGAGCATCTGCCTTTGGCTGAGGGAGTGATCCTGGAGTCCCGGGATCGAGTTCCGCATCAGGTTCCCCACAGGGAGCTTGCTTCTCCCTCTGCCTATGTCTCTGTCGTTCTCTCTGTGTCTTTCATGAATAAATAAATAAAATCTTTAAAAAAAAGTATACATATATATTTTTTCTTCAATGTTACATTTTACTTTTTGGGGGGAGAGAACAGGAGGAGGAAGGAGAGGGGGGAAATGGTCTCACGGGAATCTCCCAGGTGTATGAGATTGGTAATAGAAAGATGGGAGGATATGGCCAGGCAGATTGGATGGAAGGCCTCCTAGATTCTTTCTTCTGATTTCTATACTCTAATGAAAAATGATATGACATATATGTAAGTGTCTAAAACATGGTATTCAGTAAATGTCTGTTGCCTTTCCTAGCAGGGTTCTCCACAGGTTGTACCTAGGCATCATCGACCTTCTCCTTTTCAAGAATGAAGCTCACCTGGAAAACTAGAGCATTAAAAGTACAGTAGTTTGGATGATGCATTTGGCTAGCTGGCTCAGTGCAGCGTCTCCCTGACTCCCTGTCCTCCCCACTCCACTCAGCCAGGAATGGGCTGGAGTAGTTGCCCAAAGCTCCCTAGCCAGCTTTCCCTGGCAGATTCCAAGTGTAGGGCTGTGGGCTGCAATTCTCCAGGGCACAATCCTCTCCTTTTGATGCTGATACTTGTTCAGAGAGACGCAGACATGTGTGCTGATATTGCAGGCTGCCTTCAGGATCTCAACAGCGATGCTGTGTTCAATCTCTTGGAAACCCACATCATTCACACCTAGGGTTTGGTCTCTATCCTGGAGTCCTGTTCAATGAGTCGGAGTTGGGAATCACCTTGGTAGTGAAGATACCTTGCTGTTAAATCCCAGCTAAGCTCCACAGGGCTACTTTAGTGTGATGACTGGAGGCAGAAACTGGGTTGACTCATTGGTGTAGTCTCCGTGGCACACCCTCTCCAGGGAGGATCCGTGCCTGGGGATTCTCACAGGCTGGTAGGAAAACTGCTAGGTAGTCATCATAAAGAATCTGGCTGTCCATTTCCAAGGCCATGCAGCAGGCCTCAGACACCTCAGGCTCTGCTCACTGCCAATTCTACATATATGTTTTATTTTTTTATTATTTTTTTAAAAGATTGTATTTACTTATTCATTAAATTCACACAGAGGGCAGCCCAGTGGCTCAGCAGTTTAGCGCCACCTTCAGCCCAGGGTGTGGTCCTGGAGTCCCTGGATCAAGTCCCCTATCAGGCTCCCTGCATGGAGCCTGCTTCTCCCTCCACCTGTGTCTCTGCCTCTCTCTTTCTCTCTCTCTGTGTCTCTCATGAATAAATAAATAAGTAAATAAATCTAAAAAAAAATAAGACAGAGAGAGAGAGGCAGAGACATAGGCAGAGGGAGAAGCAGGCCCCATGCAGGGAGCCTGATGTGGGACTCTATCCTGGGACTCTGGGATCATGACCTGAGCCAAAGGCAGACGCTCAACCACTGAGCCCCCCAGGTGTCCCAAATTCTACATATATGTTTTAAATAGTAAAAAATGTCAAACAGTACAAGAAGGAACCCAAGGAAAAGTAAATCACTTCCTATCATTATCATGAAACAATCACTTTACCTGTCTCTTGTGTTTTCATCAAGGGACTATATATATTTATGTTTTTATTTATTTATATATTAGTTTCATTGAGATAAAATCGACATATAGTATTGCATGAGTTTAACAAGTACAGTGTGTTGATTTGATACTTAAATATTGTGAAGTGATTACCACAGTAGTATTAGCTAACACCTTCATCACCTCACATAATTACTTTAGTGTGTGTGTGTGTGTGTGTGTGTGTGTGTGTGTGTGGTGAGAACATTTAAGATCTAGTCTCTTAGCAATTTTCAAGTATATAATACAGTTTTGTTACCTGTAATCACCATGCTGTATATTAGATCCCCAGAACTTAAAACCAGATGTTTGTACACTTTGACAACATCTCCCCATATCTGCTACCCTCTGGCATCCACCGTTCTATTCTCTGTTTCTAGGAGTTTAGCTATGAATTTAGATTCTGCATATAAGTGACATCACACAGTATTTATTTTCCTCTGACTTATTTCAGCATAATGCTCTCAAGGTCTATCCATGTTGTTACAAGTGGCAGGATTTCCTTCTTCAGCATAGCTGAATAATATTCCTCTATATATACATTAGAATATAGATATATATGTATATTCTATATATTGTATTTATTCTATCATCTATCTATCATCTATCATCTAATATATCTATCTTCTCATATACAAATGCCTATATCTATATCTATATCTATATCTATATCTATATATATCTCAGGACTTTTTTACCCAGTCATCTGTTGACAAATACTTAGGTTGTTTCCATATCTACGGTAAATAATGCTGCAGTGAACGTGGGAGTGCAGATAGCTCTTTCCTTTGTTATAATTTCCTTTGGACATATACCCAGAAGTGGGATTGCTGGATAATATGGCAGTTCTATTTTTAATTTTTAAAAAAGTTATTTGAGAGAGAGAGTACAAACGGTGGGGGAGGATGGGCAGAGGGAGAGGAAGAGAGAGTCCCAAACAGATTCCCCACTGAGCACAGAGCCCAACATGGGGTTCAGTCTCACGGTCCCAAGATCAGGACTTGAGTTGAAACCAGGAGTTGGATGCCTAACCGAGTGCACCATCTAGGTGCCCCTATTTTTAATTTTTTGTGGAAACACTCTACTACTTTCCATAGAAAGGCTGTAGAAATTTACATTCTCCCCATAGTGTACAGGGTTTCCCTTTTCTCCACATCCTTGCTAATACTGATTAGTTCTTGTCTTTTTGATGACAGTCATTCTGTGTGTGAGGTGATATTTCATGGTGGGTTTGATTTGCATTTTCCTCATGATTAGTGATGTTGAGCATCTTTTTATGTATCTGTTGGCTATTTGTAGAAGAATATCTATTCAGGTCTTTATATATACACACACATATATATAATCAGGTCTGCTCATTTTTTATTGGATTGTTTTTGGCTATTGACTTGTATGAGTTCCTTATATAGTTTGGATATTAACTGTTTATCAGATATATGATTTAAAAATATTTTCCTTCCATTCTGTAGATTGCCTTTTCATTTTGTTGATTGCTTCTTTTGCTGTGTAGAAGCTTTTAGTTTGATGTAGTCCCACATACTTATTTTTGCTTCTGATGCTTATGCATTTGGTAGCCTATCTGAAATATCATTGTCAAGACCAATGTCAAGGAGCTTTTTCTCTATGTTCTTTTATCAGAGTTTAGTGGTTTGGGGATTTAAGTCTTTAATCCATTTTAAGTTAATTTTTGTGAGTGGCATAAAATAGGCATCCAATTTCCTTTTTTCTGGATGTGATTATCCAGTTTCCCAACATCATTCATTGAATAAACTATCCTTTCCCCATTGAATATTCTTGGCTTGGGACCACTGGGTGGCTCAATGGTTGAGCGTCTGCCTTTGGTTCAGGATGTGATCCCGGGGTCTTGGGATCGAGTCCTCCATCAGGCTCCCTGTGGGGACTCTGCTTCTCCCTCTGCCTATGTCTCTGCCTCTGTGTGTCTCTCATGAATAAATAAAATCTTTTTTTATAAAGATTTATTTATTTATTCATGATAGAGAGAGAGAGAGACAGGCAGAGGGAGAAGCAGGCTCCATGCAGGGAGCCTGACGTGGGACTCGAGGATCACGCCCTGGGCCAAAGGCAGGCGCTAAACCGCTGAGCCACCCAGGGATCCCCTTTAAAAAATTTAATTTAATATTTAAAATATTTTTGGCTTATTCTGTCAAATATTAGAAGGCCACATATGTGAGGTTGATTTCTGGGCACTCTATTCTGTTGCATTGGTCTATTTTTATGCAAATACCCTAATGTTTTGATGAATATAGCTTTGTAGTATAGCTTGCAATCTGGGACTTTGCCAGCTTTGTTCTTTTTTCTCAAGAGTGCTTTGGCTATTCAGAGTCTTTTGTGGTGTTATATGAATTTTAGGATTGTTTTTTACAGTTTTGTGAAAAATACCATTGGAACTTCAGTAGGGATTGTACTGAATCTCTAGAT